GTTCTTCTGCAAGCCACATACCCGACGTCTGTGTATAGTGTGTATGTTATTATTCTCACTGCTTATTTTGTTCGTATGTCATTTGGGGGCAGTCGTGGCTGCCACTTAACAGAAACGGCGGCCCCTCCTGGCTAAAATTAGATCACGTTCTCATATTCTTCAGTGTCTTAGCGCTGTTGATAATGTGGCAAGACAGAGTTTGTCATATTTTGGTTGCTTTGTTTCACGACGTGAGGTCAAAATATTTTGAAAGTCACTATAGCGAATGGAGGTTAAAATTAACAGCAATGGGCAAATTAAAACTTTTTTTTTTCATTTTTAAAGTGACTATATTTTCCCTACTGCATATTAATTATTAAGTGTCTTCATGTCTTATGATATGCTGGAATATAATGTGCAATAATTGTGCCGTCGAATCTTGGCAAAGGAGAGGCGCTCACGAACACGGAGTTACATTTGGGAGGAATATTTGACAGAAATTATGCCTGCTTTGAAAAGTTTTTGAGTTCACCGCATGGAAAAATGGAAGCAAAAGCAAAAGTTTTGCTCAGTGTGTATACAAAACCTCCCCCTTTTTTTCTTAAATATTTTTTTGAATAAAGCCAACATTTTGATTCAGCAACATTACTAGAAAGGTGCAAGAATCGCTAGTATGTCCACTTAAAAGCTCCAAAATAAATACAAAACTATATTAAATGAATATATTTTTGACAAACTTATAATATCATTAACTCCTCATGCTAAAGAGACGTCAAATAAGTTCACCTCTTGTCCCAACAACCAACCCGTCAGTTGTTGTTATGTTTTTTGCCTTTTTAATTCTTTTTTTTTTTTTTTTCCGCCCCTCCAGATTGCTGGTGGCGGCCCCTCTCTGCACTCAACAGATTTTCAAATATCTGTTTGCAGGCGCATGTGTCACTTCCAAACACATGACCTACTTTTGTACTCACGCACAATCTTACAAACGTAAAAAGAAAAAGAAAGCCATTTCCTCTCGCTGGCTCGCATACATTACATGTTGTCTCTTTGCGGGAATCCCGTCTGCACGGGAACACGCGGCGGTTATGGCTTGAGCCTTAATTTTTAATTATGGTACACAGCTGCTCTAGAGTTATATTTCTATATTTTCTCCCTCCCCCTCCTCCCCCCTCTGCACCCCTCAGCATTTAATTGGAGCTGAAAGAGAATGACCTATTTTGTTTGGAGAACATTTAGACTTATGTGCTCCTCCTCACAAGGCGGAAGGTGGCCTTGGGCTGCCAGGCTTCCTCAGGAAGAAAAAAAGAAAATGTAATATTAATAAAATGATAATGCATCATATTGGCAATCAGGAAATTCGTCAAACGGGATTATGCAAATACATGTTAGTGCATCCAAAAAAAAAAAGATAAAACATGCAGCTGGCGGAGGAACATGATGAAGCAAATTTCCCATACTGTATAAGCGTGGAAGCGCACAACATGTGTAGCATGTAGCGACCACATGTTGGCGTCTGCTGGCCACAATCATGATTCGAGATGCTGTCTCCACATCATGTCAAGGAACTAAACAGATTGGATGAAGGTATGGAGTGGCATAGCTGCCCCAGTTATGCTACTTCCTCTGGCTTTTTGGCAAACAGCAAGATTTAACTCCCCAGAATGTAACTATAGTCGCATGCATTATGGAGTGATTATTTGTCAGTCATTCGCCCCCCCCCCCTTCCCTCTAAATACTTAAATGGTTTTAGTACCGTACAGTGTATTGGGTTACAAATACAGTATGTTCAGAAACACAAATATTTAGCTATTTGGTCTCATTTAGGATTCCGTTTTACTACAGCTACTGTTATATTTTGTCTCAGGACAATTATTATTTACACAAGCGCATGAATTATTCTGTCTTTTCGTGTATGTAGAAAATTTTCCTCCAAGTCTGGAATGACCTGCATCTAATTCCATTTTAGTTGAGATGGATAGTATGATGTACTGTATTTGGACGTTCATCGGAAGCTGCAAGGTGCCTCGATGGCGGGCGGGACACGGGGAGGTCGTGTCGCCTTCCCATCAGCGGCGCTTCGTGCCACTTGACAGACGTCGTCAGTCGTCGACTGACATTTGAGAGCCGTCGTCTCCAATGTCACTCAAGCGGCGGCTTGCAAAAGGCACGGGTTTGTCGCCCCTAACAAAAACAAAACAAATGTCTTCATGTTGGAGAGCACACACAGGCGCACACAAACGCAGCCGTGTTTGTTTCTTTTGGTTTCATAGCAACCTGCTAAGCTCACAAGAAGCATCTTAGACTCCATTTGTTTTTTTTCAAGGGGTCCTTCAAAGAGGAAGATTTTGTGCTTCCAGATTTGAAACTTGTATATGAGACAGATTGGCATTTAATTGCAAAATGTTTCAGATAGATTGGCTTCTTCTGACTTTTTGGAACATCTCAGGGTGCTACACGTGGCTCCCATTTTTTTGTAGCTCTATGCCCAACATAGCAGGATAGGGCTCTTTTAAATCTTTGGAGGGGCGGCCGTTACAGGAATCTCGAGTTACCCAAGTTTGATAATTCAGCCCCTGAAGAGACATCCTCTTAACGAGATGCCATTTGGCACGTATGTCTACACCCAACAAGTCAACAGGATCATTTTGAGGAGTTGTGGAAAGGCTAAATTGCCGTCGAGATTTTGCAAGCAGTTTGTCGAAGCTAAACTGTAAATATTTGAGTTTTCTTAATTGCGTATTTGTGAATCCCGGTGACAAAGTTTGGATTCTCTGGCTGCCTGCCATCCATTGTGTCTCATCATGCACACGGGAGAAAAGAATGTCTGCTGCTTTTAAAGCACACACCTAAATGAAAGTTTGAGTCCCGAGGGGCCGAGGCAAACAAATGATTGCATTGAGACAGATGGAAGTCAAAAAAAAAAAAAAAGAGCATCGATGGTTTCTATTGTCGCCGTGCAAGGGAAGGGAAAAAAAACGCTCGTCGGTAAGTGCGGCGGCATCACAAAAGCGTGTGGCGGCAAAGCAATTTCTTTTTTATTCAAGTGAAAAAGTCTGGGGTGCTGTCACAAAGGAGAAGCCTAACAAGGCGCTTTAAACTCTGCCACCGCATCGCTGCGGGCTGTCAAACGAGCAGATCAGGTATATAAACCCAGCTTCAAGTCAAAAAGTCTGTTTGGGGTAATCGCTGCATTTTTCCGCCGCGCGTTTGATGTGCGGCTCAGATTAACTGCGTAAGATCTTACTGTGCCATTCAAAACCTAAGACCAAAGGCCTGAACAGGTCCTGAGATCCACTTCCTCTGAGGTTAAGTCGACGCGCTCCATTTTATCTTCCTTCAACTCTGTATTATATTTACAAAATGCCCGATGTGGACTCTCACAAACGCTGGACAATGGTGTCATGACGTACGATAGGGCTGCGGTGATTCATCGTAACGCTCGAATAATCAGTAATAAAAAAAAAAAAAAAATGGACAAAGCAAATCTCATTTTTGGCGGAACTGCAGTCACATGCCCCACTCCGTGTGGAAATAATTTGCCGTGGTGGTGGCGAGCCGGGAGAAAAGAGTTTGTAAAAGACTGATAATGTCCAAAATTTCCCGCCTATGATCACCAACACAGCTAACTGCCAGACAACTCTATCTTCCCGTTCATGACGCCCACGTCACTCACCCGGCCCGGCTGAGCCATGCACGCTCTAAGTCACAGATGCTACAGTAGTTATTCAGTGTTTTTATGAATAATTGACTAGGCGTGGTCAGATTAATATTTTCACACTTCTTAGTTGGTCTACATCAAATCTAATTTCCTAACATCACATGATCAATATCCATATAACGCTACATTGTTGTCAGCTTGATAGCCAGCGTGCTAACATCATGCTATGAGTTGGCCTTGGGCCAAATGTTAACTACCCCAAGACTTAGACACATAAAACGAGGTGTGGTGCTTTTGCACGTCGTCGTCGTTAGAAGAGCAAAAGAGCTTCCGCTCAATTTGCATCGACAGGTCTGATCTGGGATTGACTCGGGTCGGAACCTTCCCGCCGCTCCCAAACGTCTCAATTAGAAGGAACAACTCAAAGGTCACGACAGACGTCAAGCCACGGTGCGTTATTGAAAATCAAAGGCGGCGTAAAGATCTGCGCGGCGAAGGTCAGAAATGTAAAGAATGGGGAGGGGGGGAGTAAAAAAAAATTTGAAAAGACTCCAGTTGAGCAACGCCGCATAAAGGACACCGTGTGACGGCACAAGATAAGCCTTGGGTGAAAATGTCAGATGGAAATGGGGATCTTAAACTTTCGTCCTACATTATGGAACGGATTATTCACGAAAACCGAGGTTCTACTGTACTCTAAAACGGCAAGGAACAAAAAATGACAGTATTTGGATGTTATCTGGTTTAGTGCTGGTCGCTCTGTTTATTTCCATTGTGCAAGGTGATAGCACAAGTTTAAGCACCGCACAGATTGCCTCGTGTGACTACGTCCTGACAAAATAAAAGAACTCGAGATTTTTTTTTTTTTTTTGGTATTCTTGTTTTTTGGCCCAACACAAGGATGAGTCAGGGTCATCCTTTGTTCCACGGCAGGACGTGAGCGACCTCCTTGTATCGCACCGCCGGGGCCTGATCCAGGGTCAGCTCTCTCGTGAGGGGTTTGGGGGGGTAGGGGGGTTGACGCACCAACACCAGTACCGGCCCGCATGCAAATCGCACTCGCTGACTTTGACCTTCAGGCAGCGCTTCATGAACGTTGTGTGTGTGTGTGTGTGTGTGTGTGTGTGTGTGTGTGTGTGTGTGTGTGTGTGTGTGTGTGTGTGTGTGTGCGTGCGCGCATTAATTCCAGCCTTTTCAATTATGCTCTCCCGCAACCAAAAACAGACCACAGGTGATGCTCAGCGGCCACGTGGAAATCAAAGCACGTCAGGACTGTTATTTCATGACTCAGCGCTTTTTCTTGATTGCTTTTTTTTTTTTTTTTTTTCCCTCTCAACTTCCTGTTTGTTTGTGTTTCCTTCAGACCGGCGGCGCAGGAGGCGTCGGACCCCCCGCCGCCCACCCCGAGGACGAGCTGGAGCGCCTGACCAAAAAGATGCTCTTTGACATGGACCACCCTCCATCTGATGAATACTTTGGTAAGTGTATAGTTGTTGTTGTTTTTTTTTTTAAACATTGTAGATTATTTGGAGTGGTTTCGTTTCTTTCTGTGGCGATCGCCGTTATCACGACTGACTTGCAATGAAAGCGCACATGACATCAGTGGATTTTTTTTTTTTTTTTTACTCTGTGTATTAGTTTCAGTTTTATTGGTTTCTATGCAAGGTGGCGGTTTGCATTAATGTAATTTTATGACACAAGCACATTTTTATTTGGCTCACTAGTTTATTTCTCGCTATTCTGTTCATTTCTATTATGCCAAGGGGGCTGTTTTCATGATTAACTGGTAAAGAACGGTTAGATTAGATGAATTTTATGACACGGGTACATTCGCCTGGGTGTGACCTGGACTTTTAAAAAAATATTTAATTTGTTGCTTTCTATTGTGCAAGGTTGCCGTGACCATGATCAAATTGCAAGGAACTTTCACATAGGTTAATTTTATGACACGCCCACATGATTTTTTTTTTTTTTTTACTCTGTGGATTATTTCCAGTCATTTTGCTGATTTCAATTGTGCAAGATGGCTTTTGTTATGAGAAAAAGCAGTGCATTGCATTGCATACATTGAATTACACGTTTACATGGCGTATGAATTAACTTTCTGTTAACTCTGTAGATTATTTATTGTCATTCGATTTATTTCGATTTTCATGAATATCGTGAATAATTTACAAGGAATGATCTGCTGGAATTAGATGACATGACCACATTTGCATGCCGCGTGGACTTTCTTTTCTTTTTTTTTTTTTAAATAAATATAGATGATTAGTTATTTTCTATTGCACATGATTTTTTTTTTTTTTTAATTTATTTATTTATTTATTTTTTTTTTACATTTTGCTGTGAGGTGTTTGATAATTAATTTAGCTCTCGCTTTCATAAATAAAAATATAACTGCCAGGATTAAACGTTAATACTCTTTCGGGGATTGAAGGAGGATTCTCCGCATTTATACGTGGCTGATATTTTCCCGCCCTCTCTCCCCTCTGGAGCCTTTAATCCCCCTCGGGGGTGGTGCGGCAGAGGCGGGTAGGCTGCCGTCGCCTCACGTGCCCATTAGATGGCTGGCAGCGCTGGTGGCGTGTAGGTGTATTATGATATTAGCGCTGGCGGGGACATGTATTTAAACTGCTTCTGCTTAGAGAGGCTATGATGATGAAGACCTTAATTGCCTGCCTGGCCGAAGCGCAGCAGAGAAATGACCCTCAAAGCCTCGCTGGCCTCAATTTTTTTTTTTTTTTTCTTTTCGGGTGGCGTGCGCACATGTGAGTTGACGGATGGGTCGCATGTGAGCCGAGGTGGCCGTTTGGCATTGCTTTGCTGTAGGAGGTACAGCTCAGCAATGTTGTTTTGGGCGCTAACGCCACAATTAAAAAAAAAAAATCGAGCTCCCCAAAGACGGTTTCCTTTGACAAGATGAAATTTATAGCTAGCTCTATCATGAGGGGGTCTATAAAAACAGGAAACGCGAATGATTTTGAAAACGTTGATGGTTTCTCCTGGCAACCTAAAATTTAGGAGCCATCTCTATTATGAGTACACTCGCAAAAAAAGTCTCAAGAAGCCATGCCCAAAGCCACGGCGGAAGTCTTGTATTTGGGTCACAAGTGGACATTTTAGAACCATTTTAACCATTAGCGACCATCTTGTTTTAGAGATGTAGAGTTTAGACCTCATGTACGAATCAAACATTTTTGACACAAAATTGCATTTTCATCATCGGCGACGACAAAGTTTGATCACTCGCCGCGATACCCGCTCCGCTCCATCTCAGGCTTAATGAACCCCTGCAAACCAGGATCGTGAAAAGATTAAGGCCTGGCTGAGGTGAGTGCGGGAACTCATTAGCAGAGTCGGTTGGCCGTCCGCAGAGAGCCCCCCGCTAACAAGCCCCCGCACCCCACCAACACCCTCCCTCCTCCCGACACACGGTCACCACGGCAACCTTAAGATCCATCACTTAAGTCTGCCATGCCTTCCGAAGTCTGTCCCAGAGCATGAGACTTTTGTAATTACAAAGAATGTAATAGCGCATACGCCTCTGCACACTTTTGTTTTAAGAGTGCGAATGTGGGTTGTGGGGGTCGGTGCGGGAGTGGGGTGGGGGCAGGGGGTTCTGACAAGGGGGCTCGCGGTCGCCGAGACCCTGGGGCCAGTAATTAACCAGATTAATCAAAGTAGGGCCGCGATCTGGACCCAATCGTTGTCTTTCCCAAGCAAAGTTCCACCGGCTATCGCCAGGGTCTTTGATGAAGTTCAAACGGCGCCGTCTCATTGGTCCACCGGGGCTTCGTTGAATTGAATTAAAGTTGTCGGCCTTTCCATGAGAGATCCTTCAAGGCAGAGTTAAAAAGCCTCGCTCACTGTACTCTATAACTCTCCTAATAACGATAAATTATCACTGAATGATTTTGCAAAATCATCTCATCCCTCCCCCACCCACTCTCAATTTTGTGTTTGCGATTATTTTTAATTCCGGGTCCTCTTCCCATTCGGAGGGAATTACACATCTCTACAACAACGTGAGATTCGTCATCCTTCAATGTATTGGTCTTATAAGTGAGGCTTGCGCTGAAATAAATGCAAATGAAGCATGAATTAATATGACCAATATCCTTTTCTTAGCTTAGCTAAATAATATATATCTATATTTTTCGGTGGGGGTGGGGGCGGACAAAACCATTGCAAAAATGAATTTAATGAATAGTTACTGGGGAGGCGGCCCGGCGGATGAGTGGTTAGCGCGTCGACCTCACAGTGCAGAGGTTGTGGGTTCGATCCCGGCTCCGGCCTTCCTGTGTGGCGTTTGCATGTTCTCCCTGTGCCTGCGTGGGTTTTCTCCGGGTATTACGGTTTCCTCCCACATTCCCAAAATCATGCGTGGCAAGTTCATGGAACACTCGAAATTGTCCCTATGTGTGAGTGTGAGCGCGGATGGTTGTTCGTCTCTGTGTGCCCTGCAATTGGCTGGCAACCCATTCAGGGTGCCCCGCCTACTGCCCGAAGACAGCTGGGATAGGTTCCAACACCCCACGTGACCCTTGTGAGGATAAAAGCGGATCGGAAAATGGATGGATGGTTACTGGGAACCCGTCAGACCTCTGTCCGGTGCCGCATTGCAATTGGCCTGGTCTGCGTTGCACGAGCGGGGTCAAGCGGTCATCTTGATCTGGAAAAACCTCAAAATAAAAGCACATGGCAAAAAAAAATAAATAAATAAAAAGAATGTTCGCATCTTTGATTTCGAATCTTAGATTAGATTGGAGTAATCTGAAGGAGCCTCTTGTGCAAATGTCATCATCCGTCATGTTTAATCCACTTAGCTGCCGCGTAGGTGTACACGCTGTGCATGTGCGTAGCGTGCGTGCGCGTGTGCGTAGCGTGCAGGCAAATCTAATAAGATGCAGCAGCGGCTGTACAAATTCCCCGGCATTTGTACGTTATGTTGTCGTCGCTACGTGGCTGTCAAGCAAAAACCAGGACAAAAAGCTGAATAATTGAAAAAGGGATGAGTGGCTCTGCATTATTTACAATTAGTGATGATGGTGTTTTATTTCTTTTTTGCCTTTGGGTTTTGTTTGAAAGCGGGAATGACAATTCCTTCGTCTCGTCTTTATGTATGGAATATCGGCTGAGATTTGTCATCGCATGTGTTGACAATCTTGAGTTAGTTGGTTAGGTTGTTGGTTGTTTAGGTACTCAGGCTGTTCGTTTGGCTCGTTTGGTGGCTTGCTGGTCGGTTTAGGTCATTAGGTGTTCTCCTTGATTACTTTTTACCGTATAGAATCAAACATTTTAATCATGCCTGATCAATATTGACAGAAACTTACTCTCTGGTAAGATTTGTGAGCTTCCCCTGTGATTTATTTGATTTTTTTTAATAAGTAGAGTCGAACACAAGTGTGGAAAAAGTGGGTAACCTTTTGCCGTTTTTCCTGGAAATGTCAGTCGGAAGAGGCGACGGAATTCATGAGGCACTTCGCATTAAATGTTGATAAGGAATCTTGGAAGACTCCGGACGGCGGATCAGCTCAGGTAATTGGGTCAGGCGGAAGTTTTGCTTTTCCGTCTTATTTGGCGAAGGTATTAATAGAGCCCTTCTTTAGACAGTAGCTCATCTGATGCAGGTCGCCCTCAGCAGCCTGTCGGGAGTTGGCTTTTAGGTCTCGCCTGGCTTGTCAGAACAAGGAGATAGGGGTGTCAGACGAAGCTTAAAAGATAAACCCCGCGCACCCCCATCAACGCACAATCACATTTCGCATCCACCGTCTCCAACCATTGCATTCTTTTAGAAATGACTACTTTTTTTTTTCATTGATAAGCCTCAGGAAGTCTGCTAATTTGCTTAAAAGTGGCCATTTTATGCTCGGCTTGGCCATTTTGAGGGGTTCTTCCAAGGCAAACTTGTCCGAGAAATTTTGCGGTTGCTATACCAAATTTGATCCAGCTCTTTTGGAAAGCTGGATTGATAAAATGTTGCGTTTTCATCCACTGCGTCTGGTTGCAGCGTGGCCGCAAAATTTAATGGCTCGCAGTACAAAACGGATAACCTGATCATTTTGAAAATTCAGCCCCAGAAGTTGATTGATCTGTTTTTCCTGTGTATTGGCAGGTATGACTTCTTGAGACTTTTTTGGAGGTTTTTTTTTTTTTTTTGTGGGTCTACTCATAAGATAAGATACGAAAACCTTTATTAGTCTTGCAATGGAGAAATTCCCAATTGCTATGATAAGCATGCCCACCAAATTCACAAGTGAAAATGTCTTTTGGGGCTGAATTTAATCCTACCAAACATAAAATTTCACCAGAGTGAACACACTTCCAAAATCCAAATACGACAGTCCCAAAATACAGATGTCACACAGACACATAACCACAGAGATAATAAATCATAAGTTGCTTCATGTTTTTGGGGGGGAAGGGTGGACTCTCTATGGGATCATTTTTAGCTTTTTGCCTCCAAATCTTCCTCTGC